TAGCAACAATATAATTAGCATAATCAGCATACCATGGAGTATTACGAGAAGCATTTATGACATTTAATTGTTCATCAGGAAAGCTATCATCAATAGGTAGTGGGTCATCAAGAACATTTTCTAACCTAGACAAGTTGTCTGCAACGGGGTTCTCAGCTCCCTTTCTATCAATAATATGCAAATCAAATTCTTGTAGCAAGAGAACCCATCTAATAAGTCTAGGTTTAGCATCTTTCTTTTCCATAAGATATTTAGTAGCAGCATGATCAGTGTGAGCAGTTACTTTGGAGTCAACAATATAAGGTCTGAACTTATCACTTGCAAATACAACTGCTAAAAATTCTTTTTCAGTGGTAGCATAATTTCTCTGGGCACTGAAAATTCTATTTCAGTGGTAGCATACTGGATAACATTTAATTTCTTATCAACTCTTCGTCCTAGAACAGCACTAACAACATAATCACTAGCATCACACATAATTTCAAAGGGTAAATTCCAATCAGGTGGCTGAACAATAGGAGCAGAAACCAAGGGTTTATTAAGTATTTCAAATGCTTCTACACAATCATCATCAAAAACAAAAGGAATATCTTTTTGCAAGAGATTAGTGAGAGGCCTAGAAATTTTACAGAAGTCTTTAATAAACCTCCTATAGAAACCAACATGACCAAGGAAACTTCTTATACCTTTGATATCTTTAGGACACGGCATCTTTTCAATAGCATCTACTTTAGCTTTATCAACTTCAATACCACTTTCAGAAACTTTATGCCCCAAGACAATACCTTCATTAACCATAAAGTGGCACTTCTCCCAATTCAAGACAAGATTAGTTTCTTCACATCTCTACAAAAACTCGGTCCAGGTTGCTTAAGAAAACATCAAAAGAAGTTCCATAAACAGAGAAATCATCCATGAAAATCTCAACAATATTTTCACAAAAGTCGGAGAATATAGCGGTCGTACATCTTTGAAAGGTAGAAGGTGCATTGCATAGACCAAAAGGCATACATCTATAAGCAAAGGTACTGAAAGGGCAAGTAAAAGTAGTTTTCTCTTAATCCTCCTTCGACACATGTATTTGAGAGAAACCAGAATAACCATCTAGAAAGCAAAAATGAGTATGTTTGGATAGTCCTTCTAGCATTTGATCAGTAAAAGATAGAGGGTAATGATCTTTTCTAGTAGCTTTATTTAATTTGTGAAAATCAATTACCATTCTATAACCTGTAACAATTCTTTGAGGAATCAATTCGTTCTTATCATTAGGAACAACAGTATTACCTCCCTTTTGAAGGACATAATGAACATGACTTACCCATTGACTATCAGCAATAGGATAAATTATACCTGCCTCCAGAAGTTTTAGTATTTCATTTCTTACCACTTCTTTCATCTTCGGATGTAACCGTCGTTGATGATCAACACCTGGTTTAGCATCTTTCTCCAGTTTAATTTTATGCTGACATAGAGTGTGACTAATGCCCTTAAGATCATCGAGAGTATATCCAATAGCGGCACGGTGCTTCTTCAGAGTTTTCAATAATTTCTTTTCTTCATGCTCTGGAAGGTCGGCATTAATAATAAGAGGATATATTTTCTTTTCATCAAGATAAGCATATTTCAGAGTATCAGGTAATTGTTTAAGTTCAAACACGGGATCGCCCTTAGGTGGAAGAGGATCCCCAAGGATTTCAACAGGCAAATTGTGTTACAAAATAGATCCTTGATTAAAGAATACTTCATCTATTTCCCTTCTTTCATTCATAAACATATCATTTTCATGGTCTAGTAAATATTGTTCTAAAGGATCATTAGGAGGCACGACAATAGAAGCAAGACCAATAATTTCATCCTTACTAGGACAATTCTTTATCATGAGGTTGTCTACGAAATTTAGAGAAATTAAAATCATGAGACATATCCCCTAAACCAACAGTAACAATATCTTTCTCGCAGTCTATCTTAGCATTAACTGTATTCAAGAAGGGTCTACCAAATATAATGGGAGAAAAATTATCTTGTGGGGAAGTAAGAAAAAGAAAATCAGTAGGATATTTTATCTTCCCACACAAGACTTCAACATCTCTAACAATCCCAATTGATGATATAGTATCTCTATTAGCAAACTTAATAGTAACATCAATATCTTCTATCTCAGCATGTGCAATATCATTCATAATTTCTTTATATAAGGTATAAGGAATTGCACTCATACTCGCACCCACATCACATAAGCCATGATAACAATGATCTCCTATTTTAACAAAAACAACAGACATGTCAACAACAGGTCTATGTTTATCTTTCATATCAGAAATAAATAACATGCCCATCAATATTATCAACCAAGAGATCTTTAAACATAGCAATACTATGTTCAACTTTAATTTGCTTAGAGGGTTTGGGTGTTCTAATATTACTTTTGTTGACCACAGTTGAAGCTTTAGCATGATCCTTTATTCTAACAGGGAAATGTGGTTTCTCAATATAAGCAGTAGGAACAATAGGATCAACATTATAAATCATAGTTTCTTCTTCAACTTTAATGGGTTCAACTACTTTAACTTCAATGAGAGGATGATATTTGAACCACTTCTCCTTGGGGAGATCAACATGAGTAGCAAATGATTCACAGAAAAAAGCTACTATCTCAGAGTTAAGTCCATATTTAGTGCTAAAATCACGAAAAGCATCGGTATCCATAAAAGATTAACACAGTCAAACTTAAGGTTTATATCTGACTCTTTATCTTCGTCGATTTCCCAATCTTCAGTGTTGCATTTAATTCTTTCCAATAAATTTCATTTGACTTCAATATCCTTCTTTATATAGGAACCAATACAAGAAGTATCGAGCATGCATCGATCATTATGAGAAAGCCGAGTATAAAAATTTTGAATAATGATTTCTCTTGAGAGCTCATGATTGGGGCATGAACATAACATTGACTTAAGCCTCCCCCAAGCTTGAATGATACTTTCTCCTTCACGAGGCCAAAAATTATATATATAATTCCGATCACGATGAACCAGATGCATAGGATAAAACTTCTGATGAAATTCCAATTTCAATCGGTTGTAGTTCCATGATCCAATATCATCCAATAGCCTATACCATGTCAATGCCTTTCCCTTCAAAGATAAAGGGAATACCTTCTTCTTGACAACATCATCGGGGATATCTGCAAACTTAAATAATTCACAAACTTCACCCACATATATTAGGTGCATATCGGGGTGTAATGTTTCATCTCCTGCATAAAAATTAGCTAGCAGTTTCTCTTTCATACCAGAAGGAATTACATAATAAATATTTTCAGTAGGTGCAGTAGGTTGAGGCGTGAGTTTCAGTTGGCACCTACTCCAGATCCAAATGCTCTCTTCGCGAAGGAACTTTATGACTTGCTCACTAGCGTGGAGGTTGCTTGACCTGGTTTGGTCAGCTTGATTGCTTGCCCCCTGGCGGGGACACCAATAAGGGACAAACAGAAGGTAGGCAAAGGTAAGAGTGGCGTCATACGCAAGGCGTCTCTGGTTGCTTAATGGATGATCTTCGGTCTCTCGGTCTGTCCTTTTGGATTAGGAGGTGCACGATGTCTTGTGTCGAGGTGTTCTTGTCAGGATTCACTTGGCGTAGTAGCAGTGTCGGCGTTTGTGGATATTGTGCGTTCGAAGAGTTTCACAAGGACCGACTATGCGGTTGTCAGGTTTGTTGCCATATGAGTGGTTAATACGTCGTCCGTTTTGTGTAGGTTTTTTTTAAATTAACTGGGCAATTCCCTTCTTGGTTTAAAAAAAATCTATATTTCAAAGACAAAGTTGGGTCAGCGACCATATGTCCACCAGTGCATACGTTAGCATCGCAGCAGCTCACCTATAACTGCAGAGAAAATCAAATCCCGCCGGGGCAAACTGAAGTGCACGAGATCTTTACAGAAGTAGAAAAATCCAGCTAGCTTCGACACATGATATTTCGTTAAGATTAGTCCACTTAATGAGTAATGACAATGATGAAGGCATGATTATCTTTGTTGATGGATGATGAGCAGGGCAGCGAGAAGACTACACATCTCATCTTTCTGCCAAATCATTGCAGCTCCGTTCTGCCAGAGATGTACGTGGAGCCCTTTGCACAGCGTCCACGGAACACATCCGGGAGATCTTTAAACTAATCGTCAGTAGTTTAATGGCGATAGATATATACTAATAGATATATATATAGATTCATCGTCCATAAAGAAGAAGAAGGGGACAGATTAGGCCGACGCACGAAGGAATCCGCCCTGATCCCCAGCGGTGCAAACGTGCGCACGTCTCTCGCCGGATAAACATATCTAGCTAGCTATGCATCTCACCTCCCATCCGGGCAGCTAGGTCCCCTCCAAGTCGCTGTCCGTCCCCGTCGTCGTGCCCGCGATATCGCCGTCGCCGGCCAGAAAGAAACCATTTCGTGATCTCGAAGTTAAACTCCGCGACACGCCTCGTCCATTTCGCTGCCCATCCACGCACGAACACGACGCGCCGGCCGGTGTCATCTATCGGCCGTCGACTGCAAACCACCGCGCCTGTCGCGTGTCCATCTGTACTTGTGTTTGTACGTCTGAATGGATCTTCAGAGTGCCTGCCAGCCACCACGAACGGCTCGGGCCGCCTCCCTGCCAAGCGTACGATATCCGGCCGTTTTGTGACCCGTGGTGGCCGACCTGTGAAAGATCAATCGTGCACGCGGGCAAGTGACGTCTGCTGTGAAAAACACAGCAGCCGGGACATAAAAGAGCGATAGAAGGCGCGCCACCTAATCTGGACCAATCAATCTGTACACTACATCCAGCCAACCTCGCCCGTTAAAGTGGTTGATCGATGTGCATATATACTCTTGCGTTGGCTTTAGTTTGCCAGCCACCACGTCCGACCAGCACAAACAAGACTGTACTCTGGGCTCCTCTGACTCCGTGTCTTGCTAAAATATCTTGATCGACTCGTTGCGAGGTTGATCAGATGGCGGAGGAAGCGAAGCAGGATGTGGCGCCACCCGCGCCGGAGCCGACCGAGGACGTCGCGGACGAGAAGGCGGCGGTTCCGTCGCCGGAGGAATCCAAGGCCCTGGTTGTCGCCGAGAGTACGTTGATTGATGCATGTTGCATGGTTAGCGGCGGGGAACTACATGGTCAGGTCAGTGGTGCTAACCCTTTTCATGTTTCTCTCCTTCAGATGACGCCGAGAAGCCTGCAGCTACAGGGGGCTCACACGAACGAGGTACTGGGTCTTAATCATCCAAGTCGGGAATCAACCATATATTTGAGCAGTTATAATTAATTAAAAAAAACTGATGTGCAACTCTGCCACTTCTTCAGATGCTCTGCTCACGAGGGTTGCGACCGAGAAGAGGATTTCGCTGATCAAGGCATGGGAGGAGAATGAGAAGGCCAAAGCCGAGAACAAGTGAGTCTCCCGTTCTCTCTCAATCTTCACGAGTAACCACCACCAATGATATTCACCGAGATGGCTCCATTTCTATCCGCATTCAGATTTTAACTCCCGTTGCACTCAGAATTCAGATATCAGATGCTTCATCACCTCGTGTCTCTCATTTAAGCCGTATTTTTTTATTTTTTTTATTTGCTTTCTCGTGTCACGCAGGGCCGTGAAGTTGCTGGCGGACATCACCTCGTGGGAGAACTCCAAGGCCGCGGAACTGGAAGCCGAGCTCAAGAAGATGCAAGTAAGTTCGAGCTCCCACTTACCATAGGCGACGCCATTTAGTACTACGTAGCACGTAAGCTATTACTGATTGGCACGGAACGTTTTGGGGCCACCTACGTACGTGCAGGAGCAGCTGGAGAAGAAGAAGGCGCGCTGCGTGGAGAAGCTCAAGAACAGCGCCGCGACGGTGCACAAAGAGGCGGAGGAGAAGCGTGCCGCGGCGGAGGCACGGCGCGGCGAGGAGATCGTCGCGGCGGAGGAGACCGCCGCCAAGTACCGCGCCAAGGGTGAGGCGCCGAAGAAGCTGCTCTTCGGCAGAGGATAGATAGCCGCGGCTTGGAGACGGTCCTCTTCGCTTCATCTTCAACTCCTCTCTGTTTGACCGTTGCAATGTCTGCTGGCCATTGCATCACTTGTGTATTTATCTTTGGGTGTGATCTTAGTTTGTATGGTATCATCAATTGCGTCGTGGTGTAATTTGTGATTGTTTTGTGGGATACTTGGGTGTACTGTATAAAGATGGAGTAGTCTTTTCGTGCACACAACACTATAACAGTATCTGATACTTGTTGAAAGCAATTAACCCACATTCAGAATCATTTTTGTGTGTTAAGGGATTCGAAAATAATACTCCCTCCGTCCCAAAATTCTTGTCTTATATTATTCTAGATATGGATGTATCTAATACTTAAACGTGACTTGATACATCTGTATTTAGACAAATCTAAGACAAGAATTTTGAGACGGAGGGAGTAATATTTGTGTTAACAAATTTCTAACTTGATAACATGACATCCTATATAGCTGATTTTCACTAACTCTAATTCTCTCAACATGAAGCTCTCCACATCACCAAATGTGCCACGTCATCATCCACTAACATTATTTTGGTCATCATCCACTAACACTATTTTGTAGCACATGCATACCTAATTTAATTATTGCAACTACAATGGTCTAGCATACACACACGCTTGCTTCGGAAAATAATATGTTTTGATTTAGGTCATTCCGTTTATACATAAATCATCCAAAATTAACTTTTAAATTTACGCATAAACTCGCGGGGAAATCACCTAGTTGACCAAATGCTACCGTTTGTGGCATTGTGGCGGCCCTCTTGTAAATCACAACTCTTCTTCTATTTTAACTAGCTTAATGCCCGTGCGTTGTCATGGGATAATAATAAAAAATATAGACATACAAATGTTGCATTCATCATTAATGCACATAAAAATAATCACTTCAGTTAAGAAATTCTTAACTTAATCACATAACATTGACCAAATGTGACTGTTGTGGTAGTCCTCTTGTAACCCATAACTCTATTTCTACCTTAATGTATAGACGCACAGATCTTCTGCGTGTCCAGAGAAAAAGACACTGACCAATAGCTGATAAGGTAACAATGCGAATTTGAAGACATTTATAAGTATGTTTGATACGTCTCAAACATATTTATACTTTTTGATTGTTTTATGTCATGTTTATATCATTTTTGCATAATTTACATTATTTTTTAGGACCAACCTATTAATTCAGTGTTCATTGTCAGTTGTTGTTTTCTGCATGTTTTTTATTTTCAAAAAATCAATTTTACCATGGTAAAAAAACAAGTTTTAAGTCCAGAAGCTTTCGGGGAGCACCGATATAGGCCAGGGGGCATCCACAGGCCCCACGCGCCAAGGTGGCACGTGATGGGGACATGTGGTCCCTTGGACCTCCGATCAACCGACTCTCGGTCTCTGTGCCTTTATATACTTCTGAAACACTTCAGGAATTCATCGCCCTATTTTTTCCATCGTTGCACATCTCTGTTTCATCAAGATCTAATCTGAAGGCCTTTTTCGATATTCTACCGGAGGGGGAATTCTTCATGGTGGCCATCACCGTCAACTTGAAGCCCATATTGATCATCCCTGGGTAGTTTTCTTTGTCATATGGGTATGTAGCAGTGATACGTCTCCATCGTATCTACTTTTTCAAACTCTTTTGCCCTTATTTTGGAGTCTAACTTGCATGATTTGAATGGAACTAATCCGGACTGACGTTGTTTTCAGCAGAATTGCCATAGTGTTATTTTTATGCACAAATAAAAGTTCTCGGATTGACCTGAAAATTTATGGAGAATATTTTTGGAATATATAAAAAATATTGTCGAAAGAATCAACTAGAGGGGGGGCACCCAGAGGCTACAAGCCCTTGGGGCGCGCCCTGCAGGCTTGTGGGCCCCCTGAAGCTCCTCCGACCCTAATTCCAACTCTATAAGTACCTATTCACGGAGAAAAAAATCAAAGAGAATGATTCATTGCGTTTTACGGTACGGAGCCACCGCCGCCTCCTGTTCTTCGTTAGGGAGGGCTAATCTTGAGTCCGTTCGGGGCTCCGGAGAGGGGGATTCGTCACCATCATCATCACTAACCTTTCTCCATCACCAATTTCATGATGCTCACCGCCATGCGTGAGTAATTCCATCATAGGATTTTTGGACGGCGATGGGTTGGATGAGATTTATCATGTAATCGAGTTAGTTTGGTTAGGGTTTGATCCCTAGTATCCTTTATGTTCTGAGATTGATGTTGCTATGACTTTGCTGTGCTTAATGCTTGTCACTAGGGCCCGAGTACCATGATTTAAGATCTGAACCTATTATGTTTTCATGAATATATTTGTGTTCTTGATCCTATCATGCAAGTTGTAGACACCTATTACAACTTATGATCCGCATACCCCAAGGTGGCAATAATTGGGATTCTTTCCAGTGATTACCTTAGTTTGAGGAGTTCATGTATTCACTAAGTGCTAATGCTTTGGTCAGGGTTCTCTATTAAAAGGAGGCCTTAATATCCCTTAGTTTCCATTTAGACCCTGCCGCCACGAGAGGGTAGGACAAAAGATGTCATGCAAGTTCTTTTCCATAAGCACATATGACTATATACGAAATACATGCCTACATTATATTGATGAATTGGAGCTAGTTTTGTGTCACCCTAGGTTATAACTGTTGCATGATGAATGCCATCCAATATAATTATCCATCATTGATCCATTACCTACGAACTTTTCACATATTGATCTTTGCTAAGTTACTTTACCATTGCCACTGTTGCAATCGCTACAAAACTGCTACTGTCAGTTTTATCATCGTTATTGTTACTTCCATACTACTTTGCTACTAAATACTTTGATGCAGATATTAAGTCTTTCAGGTGTGGTTGAATTGACAACTCATATGCTAATACTCTAGGATATTCTTTGGATGCCCTTGTGTCAAATCAATAAATTTGGGTTGAATACTCTACCCTCGAAAACTGTTACGATCCCCTATACTTGTGGGTTATCAAGACCTTTTTCTGGCGCCGTTGCTGGGGAGCATAGCTCTATTCTCCGAGTCACTTGGGATTTATATTTGTTGATCACTATGAAGAATTTGAAAGATACAAGAACCAAGATTTTTCCCTCTACTATGAGGGGAGGTAAGCAACTGTCATATAGCTCTGCACTTGATTCACCTTCTATTTTGAGTAAGCTTGCGACACCTGCACCTGCTATTGATTTCGACATGTCACATGTTATTGATGATGCTACTTCTACTATGAATGATGCTGATGATACTACTCCTTTGCTTGATAAGATTGTGCCACTGGGTGAATTTCTTGATGAAAAAATTGCTAGAGTTAATGATATTTAGAATGATGAAACTGATGATATTTCTGAAACTGATGAAATTATTGAAACTGAAAACTTTGAAACACCTGATAGAACTAGCTCTCCTAGATATGAACTTCTTGTTATACCTGAGGATTATGTTATGGATGGAGAGGTAGATAGGGACTTTCTTGCTTGTAAAGATAGAGATGATCTTAAGAAATTTCTTATCAAGTTGAAAGAAAAATCTTTGAATGCTAGAATGCAATATGATCCTAAGTTTTCTACTTCACCTATCTCTGTTACTAATAAGGATTATGAATTCTCTATCGATCCTGAGTTAATTACTTTGGTTGAATCTAATCATTTCCATGGTTATGAATCTGAAACTGTTGTGGCACATCTTACTGAATTGAATGATATAGCCACCCTATTTGCTCATGAGGAAAAAATCCGTTACTATTATATCCTTAAGTTGTTTCCTTTCTCGTTAAAGGGTGATGCTAAGATATGGTTTAATTCTCTTGCTCCTAGTTGTGTGCGTAGTCCCCAAGATATGATTTACTACTTCTCTGAAAAATATTTCCCTGCTCATAAGAAACAAGCTGCTTTACAGGAAACATTTGACTTTGTGCGAATTGAAGAAAAGAGTCTCCCACAAGCTTGGGGGAGGCTTCTCCAATTACTTAGTGCTTTGCCCGATCATCCTCTCAAGAAAAATGAAATGCTTGATATCTTTTGTAATAGACTAACCGATGCTTCTAGGGACCACCTAGATAGTTGTGTTGGTTGTGTTTTCAGGGAACAAACTATTGAGCAAGCTGAAATGCTATTCAAAAATATGTTGAGTAATGATAATGATTGGACTCTTCCCAAACCACCTCCTAAGCCAACTTCAAAGAAAAGAGGTATTCTATTTCTCACTCTTGAAGATATGCAAGAGGCAAAGAAATCTATGAAAGAAAAAGGTATTAAAGATGAAGATGTTAAGAATTTACCACCTATTGAAGAAATACATGGTCTTGATAACCTGACACATGTAGTAGAGGTAAATTATCTCTATAGATTTGATGAAGGTGATATCCCTCAAAATAAGTCTGCTAGTCAATGCTTAGATGAATTTGATAACTTTATTGTTAAACAAGAAAACTTCAATGCATATGTTAGTAGACAATTGAAACATAATGCTTATATGCTTGACTACTTGGGTGACTATATGTGTAGAACTGTTAATGATCTCAAGATTATTAGTAAACATGCTTCCATGGTAAAAACTCAAGTAGAACAAGTTCTCAAGGCAGATAATGATTTGCTCAATGAGATGAATAATAAGATGAATGATCATGTTGTTAGAGTTATGACTAAAGGTGGTAAAATGACGCGGGAACCCTTGTATCCTGAAGGTCATCCTAAGAGAATTGAGCAAGACTCTCAGAGAATTAATACTGATGCACCTAGTCCTCCTAGTAATAAAAAGAAAAAGAATGATGATAGGACTTTGCATGCTTCTAGTGAACCTGTTATAGACACACCTGAGAATCCTGATGATATTTCTATTTCTGATGCTGAAATGCAATCAAGTGATGAACATGAGCCTAGTGATAATGTTAATGATGATGTTCATTCTGATGCTCAACCTAGTAATGATAATGATGTGGAGATTGAACCTGCTGTTGA